GGAATATGTTATCCACATCAAATAATAGTGATGTGTTCAAAAACAAGTCTTTCTGGAGACGTTGCTTACGTTCTCACTTTTGCCCCTATTTACCTTATTTTTCTAGACTTTTTTGAACATATACGATTTGTCTTCAAAACACGATGGTGCGATAGGAATATGTTATCCACATCAAATAATAGTGCCGTGTTTGAAAACAAGTCTTTTCGGAGACGTCGCTTCCGTTCTCACTTTTGCCCCTATTTAGCCTTATTTTCCTCGACTTTTTTAAACTTATACGATTTGTCTTCAAATCACGATGGTGCGATAGTAATATGTTATCCACATCAAATAATAGTGCCGTATTCGAAAACCAGTCTTTCCGGAGACGTCGCTTACGTTCTCACTTTTGCCCCTATTTACCCTTAATTTTCTCGACTTTTTTAAACGTATACGATTTGGCTTCAAAACACGATGGTGCGATAGGAATATGTTATCCATATCAAATAATAGTGCCGTATTCGAAAACCAGTCTTTCTGGAGACGTCACTTACATTCTCAATTTTGCCCCTATTTACCCTTATTATTCTCGACTTTTTTAAACGTATACGATTTGGCTTCAAAACTCGATGGTGCGATAGGAATATGTTATCCACATCAAATAATAGTGACGTGTTCGAAAACAAGTCTTTCTGGAGACGTCGCTTACGTTCTCACTTTTGCCCCAATTTACCCTTATTTTTCTCGACTTTTTTAAACGTATACGATTTGGCTTCAAAACATGATGGTGCGATAGGAATATGTTATCCACATCAAATAATAGGGTCGTGTTTGAAAACAAGTCTTTCCGGAGACGTCGCTTTTGTTCTCACTTTTTCCCCTATTTAGCCTTATGTTCCTCGACTTTTTTAAACGTATACGATTTGGCTTCAAAGCACGATAGTGCGATAGTAATATGATATCCACATCAAATAATAGTGTCGTGTTCGAAAACAAGTCTTTTCGAAGACGTCGCTTACGTTCTCACTTTTGCCCCTATTTACCCTTATTTTTCTCGACTTTTTAAAACGTACACAATTTGGCTTCAAAACACGATGGTGCGATAGGAA